TTTCCCTTTTTTCCTCTTTTCTTTTACTTGACTTTCTCATTTTGCTTCTCAACTTCCACATTTGAGTGTCTAGACAGATGTCGGTGCACAGTAGCGAAACATCTGAATACTTTTAGGGTCATATAAAACCTCAACACCCCACTGAACTGCTACAGAAAGGGAAAAATTCATCTTCATAAATCTGAATTTGAATCTCTTTCTGGGAATACCATGTTGCAAAACACAGTAGTAGAGGCAAACAGGCATAGAAGTACCTCACAGTTAAGTGAAGTATATGAGCTAACAGTAGCAGAAATCTCCAACAAATTAGTCAACCGTGAATACACCACCAAATGACTAAAAGTCAGAGAGGAGACACTGCAAAGTGAGCAGCAGGGAGAAGCACGGAGCTGCAGAGAGTGTGTTCATCTCTTCCCACACACCTCTGAATTCTTAGTTGAAACCCTGTAGCTCAGCCCTGGTGCACCTATTCCCTAGAAACTATGAGGCCTTTGTAATATACAGTTCCAATGTCAAATGTGCCAGTTGCTTGGTGAGAATCGGGGAAGAGGATCAGGGAGATAGAACTGCAGAAATACTGCAGGTCATCTCCTTCCGCATGCATCTAACACACAGAATTAACTCCAAGAAAGTAGGGAGTAACGTATAATCCATCAGATGACCAGAAATCACTGCAGAGACACAAGAAATATGGTAAACTAAGAAAATTTCTCTCCCTCAAGAGGAAAGAACAGCCCTTCATCTTTCAGAGACAATACAAGGGAACTCGTGGAAATGTCAGATAAGGAATTTAGAATATTCATAGTGATAAAGCTAACAGAGATGCAAGAGAAGAGAGACAACAAACTCCAGGAGATACAGGAGAAAAGAGACGAGTTCCAGGAGGTGAGGAAGTTCTTGCATGATCTGAAAGAGGAAATGCACACCGTAAAAAAGAATCAAATGAAACTGTTACAGATCAAGGCTGTTGATACAGGAAATCTAAATCTCCCCTGAAAGTATTAAAAGCAGAGATCATGCAGAAGATCAAATCTCACATGTAGAAGGTAAGAACCTCTGATCTAGAAAATTTCACCAAAAAGACTGAGGAAATAACTCCCCAAAATGAGAATAATATACTGGTAATTCTAGATACCATTAGATACCCAAACATCCGGATAATTGGTATCCCAGAAGGTGATAATCTATTCCATGAAATCCTAAAAGAAAACTTTCCACACCTAGAGAGGCAGTCTAATATCCAGGTCTAAGAAATACATAGGACCCCACATGGAATCAACCCAAGAAGATATTCTCCAAGGCACATCATAGCCAGATTGACCAAAACCACAGACACAGACAAGATATTAAAACTGGCAACAGAAAAACATCGTCACTTTCAAAGGACATCCCATCAGACTACAATCAGACCTCTCGTCAGAAACAATGCAAGCAAGGAAAGAATGGGAAATGAGATTAACCTAATTTTTTTGCAAGTAAGTTAGTTTAATACCTCTCTTTAGTAAAGGGAGGAATGGAGAAAGAAAAAAATGTTTCAGAAGAAAGTTATAGTAAAATTGTCACTATATTCTAGCTCTGTCCGTATTTTTAGTTTAAGATCTTTTGTGTACCAATAAAATGTGGAAAAAAGTTTAGTATGAAAGGAAGGGAGAGGGAAGAAAAAAACAAGTAAAAGTATGTGTAACTGACAAAAAAATGAGAAGCTATTTGCTAGTGATAAGGTATATAATAATATCTTTGTCTTGACTGACATGCATGGTATTTGCACTGGAAAAAGAAATGTACACTGTAAAGACACATGATTAAATGTAAATAAATTTTATAAATAAATAAATCATAAAAAATTACTTAACATTATTTTAATCGTGTTTTGAGAAATTTCTAAAACTATCTGAAAATGCAATAAAGGGCATAACAAATGTTTCCAAAGTCCCAAATTAACAACTGTTTGGATTCAATCATACAATCGCCTAGTCTTTAATTCTGTAAAGAAATAAAACATTACAGATAAAACTATGCTACAATCCTGGGCCCTAACTCCTCAGAGGTAACCGGTATCCTAGTTTTGGTGTATATGGTTCCAGCACATTCTTCTAAAATCTTCTAAATAAATTTTACATATAATTATCTATTTATCTTTAAAAAAACTGTTATGTTTTTGGTTTGTATATTTTGAAATACTTATGAATATCATACGTACATATTTTCAATCTTGCTTTCCTTATGAGACATTGTTTTTCATCTCTCCACTTTAATTCATACCTTCAAATGTGCATAAATTTTACCAAAGGAATATATTTCATTTATTCATTATCCATTTGGTTGGATTTTAAAGTTATCTGATTTTTACTCTTCCAAACAATGTGCAACAAAGAGCTTTATGCTGTTTTTTTTCTTTCACTTTTTTGCTATAGGGTACATGTACTTGCCAGAGAGAGACAGAAAGGTGAAAGTGAGAAATCACCCCACGGGAGGGATGGCCACACCATAATCCCTTCTCCTGCAGTCTCCTCTTAAGATTGTGGGCAAACATGCGCACACACCTGGAATGATCAAGGTCTCGCCCAGGACTCTAACTTGTAATGTGAGATTACAGTGCCTTAACTTCTACATCACCTGCTGGCCAGAGCCTTATACTTTTTGTCTCCTAACTCACATGTATGAGTTTCTCTGGAGCAATATTTCTCATAAAGTGTAGTGTGTGGGTCCCTAGGGGATCCCTGGAGCCCTTCAGAGAATCCTCAAGGTCACACTATTTTTATAATGCTAAGACAGTATTTGCTCTTTTCCATTCTTATTCGCTCATGAGTACAAAAGGGCTTTATATGTATTTTTAAGACAGTAACTGTATTTTCCAAAACAAACAAGACAAAAATAGTGAAAAAACCAGTGTGTACGTGTGGCCCTCACTGGCTCAGACGGCAGCGAACTGAACTGCAGTGCAGGAGGCCACATGGCCAACTGTGGGCTAGGGTCCTCATCTTAGCCTGAAAACACACTGGGTTTGTGCGTGCATCCCGATGACGTGAAGGCCAGGGAAAGGAGATCGCGGTGTGATGAGAACTTGTCAACAGTGTTCTCTCTCTTTCTAAAAACAAAGAACATAAGCATGTGGCAGTGAAGAATGTGAGGACTACCAAGTGATCTGTGATAAGGCACAGATCAGCAGTTTTACCCAGCATTACTTTCTTATCAGTTATTGCAATTATTGCTACAGTGAAAAGGCAAACTCATATTCCAGTGTCATCATGAAGATAGTTCTGACCTTCCTGATCAATAAAAGTGTGTGAGGGACACTCAGAGTATATATTGAAATTTCCATTGTCTTAGGTATGAATTTCTGGACCAATTAATACATATTTTTTAAAGAGAGATTTTTGCTACAGGGCACATGCACTTGCTAGAGAGACAGAGAGAGAGAGAAAGTAGAAGTCATCTCCTTAGGGGTGGCCACACTGCAATTCTCTCTCCTCAATTCTCTTCCCGGGATTTTGGGCACACACACCCATGTGCCCATCGTGTGTTTCAAGCCACTGGGTCTAGGACTTGATCTGCGGTCGGCCATGTGGGAGTCCAGAGCCTTAACCACTTTGCCACCCACTGGCCCCAATTTATGCATACCCAATTCAAGTCTAAAGAAAGGAGAGGGTTTTGCTAAGGGATGCCAGAAGAAAGATTTGCTCCTCTGTTAAGACTAAGTGATCAGGTTGTACAAGCAAATTGTTCACTTTAATATGGTGGTGGTGGTGGAGGGGGTAAGGGAATCATTTACCTTGTGAAATGGTTATTTTATGTTATGTGAATGTTGCCTAACAGGAAAAAATAATAAGACATAGGAAAACATCTCATTTTTTAATACTGTTCTGGAAAACTGCTTATCAATATCTCACTACTAGTCAAAAACATTCTTATTGAGGACTGGCAGATGGTGTAATGGTTACGTCACTGGACTCCCACGCAGTTGACCACAGTTCAAGTCCCAGACCTGGTGGCTTAAAACTCACGCTGAGTACTGTATGTATGTGTGCCCAAAGTCCCAAGAGGAGAAGAGACTGCAGCATGACCATCCTCCCAAGAGGTGATCTCTCACTTTCTGTCTCTCTGCCTCTCCAGTGAGTACACATGCCCTATAGCAAAAATCTCTTAAAAAAAAAAAAAAAAAAAGCGTACTGATACAACTGCAATAAATATTTTGCCAGAAGGTGCATATCTTTGCCAGAGAGGGAGAAGCAGAGGCAAAAAGCGCCTCCCAATGGGGTACAGTCAGGCCACGATCCCTTCTCCTCCAAGTCTATGCAGGCAGGATTCTGGGCACACATGCACACGTGCTCTCTGTGCTTGCCATGCCACTGAGGCCAGGATTCACTGTCGGTCATGTGGAATCTAGCTTCCTCAACCACCAGGCCATGGGGTAGGCCCAGTACTTTTATTTCTATAAGGCAATTTTCCAGGGGTAGTCAATATAATCAAAAAGTATAAAAGTATTCTTTGCATACTTACTTTTAAAAAATTCTGAAGTTATTACAAACTGAAAAATTCGTCAATCAAACACCCACCACTGGGATTAAAGATATTTAACAGTTTACCCAAATATCTCTTTCAAAAATAAGTCATTATAGGGACCAGCAGTTAGCATAGTGGCTATGTCGCTGGACTCCCATGTGGTTGACTGCGGTTTGCGTCCCAGACCCGGTGGCTTAAAACTCACACCGGGTACATGTGCGTGCGTGCCCAAGATCCCGAGAGGAGAATGGAGGAGAAGGGACTGCGGCGTGACCATCCCCCCGGGGGGTGATTTCTTGCTTTCTGTCTGTCTCTGTCTGTCTGGCGAGCGCACGTGCCCTATAGTGAAAACCTCTTCAAAAAAAAAGAGAGAAGAAAGAGGGACCAGCAAGTGACATGGTGGGTTAAGGCACTGGACTCCCCCATGGCTGACCGTGGTTCAAGTCCCAGACCCAGTGGCTTGAAACACCAGGCATGTGTGCATGCATGCCCAAAATCTTAAGAGGAGAATGGAAGAGAAAAGACTATGTCATGGCCATCCTCCTGGGATGTAAGTTCTCACTTTCTCTCTCTCTGCCTCTCCAGCAAGTGCAGTGCCTGATAGCAAAAGTCTCTCAAAAAAAAAAAGGAGAAAGCAAAAGAAACACCACAAAATGGGAGAAAATATTTATAAATCTAGTTTTTATTCTATTTTACCGACAGAAACCTATTTTGACATTGTAGAAAGTTACTTATTTTAACTAAGAAAAAATTATTTTAAAACCATTTTTTTAATTAAAAAGATATAACTTATTTTTTTGAAAAACAGAGTCCAGAATTTTTTCAAATTCATATCATCAGTGATGCCGCCTATGGTGAACGTAAAAGGAAACCAATTTTTCTTACAAGAAAAATAAATAATACTTTCTTCATTAGTTATCATGATGGCCTCTTTGCTTTTCCATGTTAAATCTTTGATCACTCTCAAATAATCCAATCTATAACTCAATTAAATTCATGAATCATCTAATATAGAAGCTAGTACCTAACAACAGATGAGTAAGACAAAACTAGAATCTACTAAATACTCACCAGGCACCATGAAACACACTTTATATTTGTTAACTCATTTAATCCTCACAACCACCATATGAAGTATAATCCCACTCCTACAGATGAGGAAATTAAGTCTCAGAGAGTTATTTAGACTTGACTGTAAGTACACAGTTGCTAAGTGACAATTCAAATAATATCAACTAACATTTATTCAGCACTTAACATTGTGCCAAGGTCTAGTCTAAATTTACGTACTGACTCATTTATTTCCCCCAACAACCCTATAACATGTATTACTATTATTTATTTCCCCCAACAACCCTATAAAATGTATTACTATACTGAGAAAACTGAGACAGAGAAGTTAAATAATTTGTCCAAAGTTACAAAACTAGTAAATGGAAAAGCTGAGCTTTTAGCCCTGTCAATCTGCCTCCAGAATCTGAAATCTTAATTACCACAACTTCTTGCTTCAAAGACAGGATTCAAAACCAAGGTCTTTCCAAGTCCACTAAGCCAAAACATTTTTTAATACACACTAATATGTCAAGAAAATTAAGGGAAATGATGAATAAAAAATAAATCCAATTTTTATTCATATCTCAATTTTTTAAATATGTGTTTCAAAAGAATACTTTATTCTATATACTTACTACATGAGGACAGATGGTTTGTCTATTTCATTAAGCTTGCAGTTATACACAATCTTAATTTAGGCAAAAAAGGGTAGATTACCAAGCAATCCTTAAAATTATAGCAGTATAGACAAAAACAATGGTATCAACTAAATTTCATTTAAGTCTATAATTTTTAAAAAGAGATTAGGCAAAATAATAGATTTCAAAAACTAACTTGCCTTATGGTAAGTTTTCTTAAGGGATGATCTTCCTAACATACCTTTTCTTGTTGCAACTTTAACAGCAAACCACGTTGTTTCTTCCGGAGTGGGGGCATTTTATCATCTTCTCCTTTGTCTCGTAGATGTCTGCAAATGGTAATTTTCATTGAGACAAAGATTAAATATCTATTATATCTTAAATATTCTTGACTAGCGGGACCAGAAGTTAGCGTAATAGCTATGTTGCTCGACCATGGTTTGAGTCCTGGACCCAGCGGCTTAAAATCACGCCGGGCACATGTGTGTGCGTGCCCAAGATCCCGAGAGGAGAAGGGATTGCGGCGTGGCCATCCCCCCGGGGGGTGATTTCTCACTTTCTGTCTCTCTGTCTCGCTCTGTCTTTCTGGCAAGCGCACGAGCCCTATAGCAAAAACCTCTCCAAAAAATTTTTTAAAAAAATTCTTGACTATTAAAAAGTGTGTAAGCCAGTTTAACATTTTCAAATGTGGAAAACAATTGCTACATAAAGCAATACATATCCGACAAATATTTTACTGAGTATATACTATATGCAAGCTCTAGACTATGTTCTCCAAAGACAGAAAGACTGAGAAATTCTACAGGAACCAAGTATAAAACACAACATGAGAATCAGCTAAGGGATAAAAGAGAAATGCAAAGAAAATGTTACATGAGCAGGAAGCAGGTCTTCAAAGCAACATGCATCAAGGATAATTGCCATATTTCTGGCTTGAAAACCTTTGGCTGATCAAGTCATACTATATGAGGGTAAAAAAAAGAAAAAAAAGAAAAAAAAGCATTTTGATTTTATGAAAGGGGGAGTAAAAACTATGGTCACTGAAAGAACCTACTTTTTCTGGTGCTCTAGCCAGGCTAATTCAGCCTTCGTTTTCTCCTTCAAGGCCTTTTCACGGAGACGTAACAGTGAAGACTGGTGAGCTGCCCTCATTTCCTCTTCTTTCATGTACTGTCGAACCATCTCCATGGTAAATTTAGAAAAGCTATCTTGTCCTCCTGAGAATGGCATGCTCAGCTCCTGAAGTAGAGAGTATATTTCAAGTTTATCATCTTCTAAACCTTCTGGAACTTAATTTTATTAAAAGAAGTATACATTTATAAAAATAAATTATGGAGGCTGGTCCCCCAGTGTAGCACTAAAGCACAGAGGAAGCCAGATCTCCCATGGCCTATCAGAGTTCAAGTCCTGGCCACAGAAGTTTGAAAAACATGCTAGGTGTGTGTGTGTGTGCCTAATCCTAATAGCATGGACAACTAGAAGAAAAATGGTGTGATCCACCCACAAGGTGGAGAAGGTCTCTCTTCTTTGCACAAATGCACATGTGAATGAGCTGTCATCAAAAATAATAATAATAATAATAATAACAACAACAACAAGGTCACCAACTATGCAAAACAACATTCTTCAAAAAGAACAAGTTAGATTAATATTCACCTGCTAATTTATTCAGCCAATAAAATTTTAATAAACAACTGTTGCAAGGCAGGTACTGTCCTAGGGATACAAGGTTGGGTAAGAATTTGTTCTTGTTAGCCAAAAGACTTACAATTTGGTAAGAATAAATCTAACTTTTAAATGGAATAGAGCGTTAGAAGAGTGAAACATGTGAAAAAACTACAGAGATAATAATAGCTCTGATCTTCAAAGGCCTCATACATCATTCCAAGGAATAAGTTGGTATTCCACATTTTAAGAAAAGTGAAGTCAGATATTATAGGAAAAATATATTATTATTTTGTTACATAACATTATAACAAATATTGTTACCTTAGGAGAATCACTGTGGTAGTTGACAACTGAATTCAACTATAAAACATATCCTGGGCTGGCCCTATAGCCTAGTGACGAAGGGAGCTAGACCTAGTTTGAATCCTGGTCCCAGCAGCTTGAAAAACACACCAGTGCATGTGTGCATGCCCCAAATCCCGACAGGATGGAGAAATGGGGGGAGAAGAAATTGTAGTGTGACCATGCCCCAGAGAGGGTGTTTCTTCCTTCACCTCTCTCTGGTGAGCACGTATGTCTTCTGGTAACTTAAAAAAAAACAAAAACCTCATACCTTTGAGAGAATACATCCATGACTACACACCCTTCCAGAGGTAACATGAAACATACCTTGGCAGAAGACAGTGTAGTCTTCTCTGGGGACTTTTCTTCTTCATCAGAGTCATCGTGATGTCCTCTCTTCTTTTCCATGTTAAATCTGCGATGACTCTCAGACGGCAGTAAAGAGCGAAATGATTTTTCTTCTATTTCATCTTCTGTCATGGATTCATCAAATTTCAGGGAATATTCTGTTGCAATAGAAGTTGAATCTAAAAGAGAAAGCAGACATTGTCATTATTAACTGTTCTTGGTAGGTATTCAATTAGCAGCCCTTTTTGCCTCTTTATGGGACAATGTACCATTAATTCAAAGAACTGATCAATACCAAGTAACAAGCCAGAATAATAAAGTTCATTTTCATAACAAAGAAGGAGGAAAAAAAACTCTGAAAATATCTAGGAATACTAGGACAAGAAATATGTAGAAGACTGTACTTTAACTTTTTTTTTTTTTTTTTTGGAGAGATTTTCACTGTAGGGCACGTGCGCTCACCAGACAGACAGACAGAGACATAGAGACAGAAAGCGAGAAATCACCCCCCGGGGGGATGGTCACGCCGCAATCCCTTCTCCTCCATTCTCCTCTCGGGATCTTGGGCACGCACGCACACGCGCCCGGCGTGAGTTTTAAGCCACCGGGTCCAGGACACGAACCGCGGTCGACTACGTGGGAATCCAGCGACATAGCCATTACGCTAACTGCTGGTTCCCTAACTTTAAAGAGTTCTTACAAACCAATTTTAAAAACCCACTAATACACTTACAGAAAAATGAGAAAAAGTAATGATCAGATGCTTCACAAAGGAACTATAGACAGCCAAAATAAAGTGAAAAAAAGTTTATTACTGGCAAAGAAAAACAAATTAAAATATCTTTTTTTAAAACTCATGAATTTCATGCTTAATCAGAAACAGGACTGCTCGTTCAGGTTGGTTCCTGTGTGCCTTTGAAACACTCCTGTCCTTTTGTTTACTATTTCCTCACTTGCTGGTACTGTAAGATGCTCTGGGCTCTTCTTGTATTTTCCCTGCAGCCCTGTAATCAGTCATTTCTCCAAAGAGCTCTGGTTTCTTTTATTGGAGAATGATATTTAGAAACCACATTGAGCACTGGTTGTCCGTGTTATTACTGGAGTATTGTTGCTTCTGCACTTGCTCAATGGACAGAGCTAGGTAACATATGCATGTACACTAACCCATGTATACATGCGCATATATGTATGCACTCACACACAATTGCTTTGTATCCATCCATTAATTTAAGTGCAAATTCATATTGATGCCTCTGATTCTAACCCAGTATGACGTTCACTGATACTGAATGATACTCATTCACAAAGCTCATTCTAGTCTTCCTTTCTTGTATATTTGTAACCTCACTATCCCCTCCTACACTAAGAATCCTGGCCCCCACCATCCAATATGCATTCACCTATTTTCAACCCCGGTATGTAAGTAAAGAACTCTCAACTTGTCCCTCTCATGTGATTTTAACTCCAACAAAAGGGAGAATGGCACATCGGGTAACTCAGAGATTAGCAAGGCCACCGCTGTCACAAGGCCCAGAGCACACAGGCCAGTCTGGACTAACAGGAGACAGATTTCGCTTTTAAGTATTCCTAATTTAAGGCAACCACTATTCTTAGGTTTTCAGTTCCCTTTTTCTTTTCATTCTAAAAATCACACTTTTGGAAAGGGGGCTTTTACTCACTTCTTCTGCTCCCATACTTTTCATTAACATCATGATTTATCAAATCTGTTTCCATCCCAACTGCCCCTGCTGAGATAGCTGATCTACGGGCAATCTGTGTATGGGATGATTGTCCAGCCACATCCTAGGTCTTTTCTCTAGAACACAATTTTCATTTTTTGCAGTATAGTTCCTTTTTGCTTAAAGAATCCTTCAATTTCCTGAAGGCAGTGAGGAAAGACAAGGCTATGCCTTGAAAATTTTGCTTAGAACTCTCAGCTAAATCTTAAACTCAATCACTTCCAACTTCTGCTTTCCATAAAACACGAGAAAACAGTTCAGTAAAGTTATCTGCCACTCTGTAACCAGGATCCCCTGCTCTAGTTTCCAAACAAGTGACTGTCCGTATACAGGCAGGAGAGTTACCTTTCTCATCAGGAAGAGATGGCACGCTATCGCTCCGTAAGGAATCATCTGCAGCTGTCTGAACTTGCTCGTCAATGGAGCTCTCCATTTTGTCACCGTGAAGTTTCTTCTCATTCTCTTTACAAGATGGAACCGAAGGGCTTTCCTGACGGCTGCTACCGCTACTACTTCTGTTTACGGATATCACAGAAACGGAACAATAAAAAAGGTCCGAGTCATAACCTTGAAGTAAACTTATTTGGCCCAAGACTGTGCCTTATAACCAAGATATTAAATAAAAAACGACATAAAATGTAAAAAGATAATTAAACAAAGTCTAAACATGAACCATTTGGGAAAAGATGAGCAGGCGAAAGGAAATTTCACTTTTAATGATCCTAATAGGCAACTATGACCTAAGGGTTTTTACTTCTTTTTTCCCTTTCTTTCAGGAAACTTTTGGGAAACTTGGCTTTTACTCAGTGTTTCTATTTTCGTACTTTTCATTAACATCATAATGTATCAAAATCTTCCAACTGCTTTACTGAAAGTGTTTTTGATATACTCTCAACCTGTGACGAATCCAAGAGACTATTTCTCTGTAACTTTAGATGGTGTTCACCTCTATCTATCTCCACTAAACACTCTACTTGCTAAAGAAAACGGAGTAAAATGTTAACATCAGGGTAATATGGATGAAAGACAATTGAAAACTTTGTATATTCTTGCACTTTTCTGTAAGCCTGATGTTTATCCAAATTCAATGTTAATTAAAAGAATTCTCCTTTCTTATATTCCACATTTCTACTCTTTTCTGCTTCTGTTCCCATCTCCCTAACAGGTTTATCTGTGTTCCTTCCGCTTGCTTTTAATTTTTCTGTCCTTCTTTAAAATGATGGTGCTTTTCTCTTTTTACACCACACACTGTATTCTCTGTGGGCAATGTTTTTATTTATTTATTTGTTTGTTTTTAATTATTTGCCAGAGGGCATGTACTTACCAGAGAGACAGAGAAAGAGGGAGATGGAAAAAGCATCCCCCGCCCCCCATCCCAGGGGTGAGGTCACATTGTAATCCTTTCTCCTCCATTACCCCATGCTGTTAGGATTTGCTCATATGTTCCAGCACTGTTTTCCAAGCTGCCAGGGCCAGGATTCAAAGGCTTTTTAAAACAGGTGAATAACCAAACCAGTTACAAATATTTTTAAAAAATCATCCTGGTTTGGGAGCCAGCCTGTGGCATGGTGGTTAAGGTGGCAGCTAGATCCCACATGGCTGACTGCATGGCTCCAGTCAGACCCAGCAGCTTGAAAATCAGGCTAAGGTGTGTGTGTGTGAGTCCCCAAAACCCCAAGAGGAGAATGGAGAAGGAACTGTGGCATGGCCACCACCACCCTCTGGGGACTTTCTCACTTTCCTCCTCTCTCTCTCCAGTAAGGGCACAAATCCTGTAGCAAATTTAAAAAGAAGGGAAAAACAACACTCTGTGGGACCAGCAGATGGTGTAATGCTTATGTCACTGGATTCCCATATGGCTGACCGTAGTTGAAGTCCTGGACCCAGTGGCTTGAAACTCATGCTGGGTATGTGTATATGTGCCCACAATCCCAAGGGAAGAATGGAGGAGAAAGGACTGCAGCCTGGCCATCCAACCAGAAGAGTAGGGTGAATTCTCACTTTCTGTCTCTCTGTCTCCCCAGTGAGCACACGCAACAAACTCCAGTTATCATGTGGCTAACGAATAGAGTGTGGAAAGATCAGAATAGGAATGGAGGGACCAGCAGTTAGCATAATGGCTATGTCACTGGACTCCCACGTAGTCAACCGCGGTTCACATTCCAGACCCGGTGGCTTAAAACTCATGCTGGGCATGTGTGCGTACATGCCCAAGATCCTGAGAGGAGAACAGAGGAGAAGGGATTGCAGCATGGCCATCCCCCCTGGGGGGTGATTTCTCACTTTCTGTCTCTCTGTCTCTCTCTGTCTGGCGAGCGCACGTGCCCTATAGCAAAAACAACAACAACAAAAAAAAAAACTCTCAAAAAAAAAAGAATAGGAATGGAATAGGGAGACTACAAGGAGTCAACTGCAGTAATCCAGATGACGGTCTAAATGAACTAAGCATCAGTGAAGGTGTCAGTAAAGATGAAATAAAAGTCACCCAGTTTCAGGTATGTATCAGGTGCTCAATAACTATAACTACTGGTACTTATCTTTGTTTTTTAATTTCACAAGTGAATTTTTTAAATTGGGGATTCAGATACCAGCCCCCATAGCTCAGCAATTAAGGAAGCTGGATCTCACATGGCTCACCACTACTCAAATCCTGGCCCCAGTCAGCAGTTTGAAAAACATACCAGACATTTGTGTGTATGGGCCCAAAATCCTCACAGAAAGAAAAAGAGGGATGCTATCTCTAGTGAGTGCACACACTCTTTGGCAATAAAACTTTAAAAATTAAATTAACAAATAAAATAAAAAGTAAGGCTTTACTATACTTGACAACATTGGCGTCCAACCTCCAAGAATGCTAGAAAGTAACCTCTAGAAATGCTTTTACCCGAGGATGGAACCATAATTGAAAAATATAAACATTAATAGTGTGTCAAGAATGAATGACTATTCAGTATTTTTTTATAATGATATAAACTAGTATATGCAGTAATATCAAGGAATATGGATGTCGGAGCCAACAGGTGGCATAGTAGTTAAGACGCTGGACTCCCACATGGCTGACCACAGTTCAAGGCCCAGACCCGGCAGCTTGAAAATCACGTTGGGTGTGTGTGCCCACCCAAAATCCCAAGAGAATGGAGAAGAGATTGTGGTGTGACCATTCCCCCTGGGGTGCGATTTCTCACTCTTTCTCTCTCTCTCTCCAGTGAGCACACATGGCCTATGGTAAAAACTTTTAAAAAATAATAAAATTAATATGGATGTCAATGAGAAAATGAACAATAAACACAGAATTTAGAAGCAGATAAATTGAGGTTGAATTCTTTGGTATGTCACTATCTACATAACCTTGGGTGAGTTCCTTAATATCCCCATGAGACTCAATCCCTAATCTATGAGGATAAAACTATCCACTTTGGAAGGCTGCTGTGAGATTAAACGTAGGAAAAACAATTTACACAATGCTTGTACAATATAAGTTCTCAAGGAAGAGAAGCTATATCATTACAAGAACACTCATTTTGTAAATTGGCAAATAAATGGGGTAAGTCAGCACTTTAAAAGGTAGACATTTTTTCATATAAAGTAACAAGATTAACAAGTCAAAGAAAACCAATGTTAAAGACATTTTACTAAACTATAAAGACAGTTTACTAAACTATAAAGATAAAGAAATCAAATTCTTTTCACCTTCGATCATGACTCTTATATCTTGAAGACTCAGAATAGCTATCATATGAAGGGGAATACTTCTGATACTTTGAGTCAAGGGTCTCTTCTTTACTCTGAGAGAGGGAAACAGACTGACTTTTCCTATAAAGAAAATAAAAATTAATTAAACATTCATACTCTCCAATAAGAGGAAGATTTTATTTATTTATTTTTATTTTTTAAATTTTTTGCTATAGGGCGTGTGTGCCCACCAGAAAGACAGAGAGAGACAGAAAGCGAGAAATCACCCCCCAGGGGCGATGAGCACACTGCAATCCCTTCTCCTCTTGGATTTGGAGCACCCATCCACGCACCTGCACCCGGAGTGAGTTTTAAGCCACCAGGCCAGGATTTGAATCACAGTCGACTACATGGGAGTCCAGTGGTGTAACCATTAAGCCATCTGCTGGTCCCCATGTGCTCCTTTCTTTCATAACATTTATCTCGGTTTATAACTGTTCATTTACTTAAATAAATATCTGATTCGTTTTCTCTCCTCCACCAGATGTTATGCCCCTAACTCTATTTGCAGTACCCAGAACAGTACCTACGACACATAGATGTAGACATTAAACACTTGCTGAATGAATGAATACTAACCGATCTGGTTCAACTCTGGCCCTCAGATGTTTTCCGAAGTCTGGAAGGTGTTGCCGCTGGTGGTCATAGAGCATTGCTAGGGGAGCTCCTGAAGCAGTGATGGCATCTGAAATATGAGTTCGAGTCAACTCTGCCATCTAAATATGAACATACACACAACAAAGGCAAAAGTCAATGTAAAAGATAACATCAAAATAGAAAACAGCACAGAAGAACTGATAGGGAGTACAGTGTCTGGGAATCATAGGATTGAGAGGAAGCACGTCTGCAAGAAAAAAATTAAATACTGTGGACAAGACAGTTAGCATTTTTAAACTTCAATAGCTTCATCTTATAGAAATAAAGAATTGGGGTCAGCCCATGGCCTGGTGGTTAAAGGAGAAGACTCCCACATGGCCAACCACATGGTTCAAGATGTGGACCAGTGGCTTGAAAAACATACCAGGCACGTGTGTGTGCCTAAAAATCCCAAGAGGATGAAAAAAATGAGAAGAAAGAATTGCTGTATGACCATTCCCTATGGGGAAAGGGTGCCTTCTCCCTCTCCTTGTCTCTCTCTGGTGAACACACACACCTTCTGGCAAATTAATAAATTAATTAATTATTGGTTTGTCAGAAAAGTCATGATGCATTTTTTGTATAGAAAAACATAGAAAAATACATCATTACTTTCCCAACACCCTAACAAATATAAAGACATTTTGACCACATGATTTCTTAGGCTTTATCCAGCTCTAACAATCTACAAAGCAGACAGAAAACCTTCAAGTCATGTATAGTAACAGCAAAAGTAAACCAAAAGTTAAATCTTCTTTCAAGAATCACTTCATTGCCACTTCCCTTCTAATAAGTCTTTTCTGATCAACAATGAAAAACATTGTTTGTATACTCAACCACTAGTATGACTACTGTATGCATTCTTCATTTAGTATTTATTTAACCATTGCTTTAAACTATCTTTTTTATTCATGACTTCTAAATCTTCCTTCAAGAATCACTTCATTACCACTTCCCTTTTAAGTCTTTTCTGATCAACAATGAAAAACATTGTTTGTATACTCAACCACTAGTATGACTACTGTATGCATTCTTCATTTAGTATTTATTTAACCATTGCTTTAAACTATCTTTTTTATTCATGACTTCAACTGTTGTGTTTTATTTTTTCCCTTTTTTTCCTTAAATTTTCGCCAGAGGATGCTTGCACTTGCCAGAGAGAATAAGCAAGCAAGAGAGAGAGAAAATGAGAAGCATTCCCATGAAGAATGGTCACACCATAATCCTTTCTGTTCCATCTCTCCCTCTTTTTGGGATTTTGGGCACACATGCACACATGCCTGGCCTGTTTCTCAAGCTGTGGATACAGGACTCAAGCCACGCAGTCAGGCAAGTGGAATCCAGCTGCCTTCATCACCATGCCACGGGCTGGCTTGACTTCAAGTCATTTTATATCTTTCTTAATGCTGTCTAGTATATTAAAAATCTTTTGAGAAGAAAGACTCATATTTATTTGTACAATCCACAGCATCCGGAATACAGTAGATCCACGCATATTAAATACTGAGATCTTTTACAAACAGTCCCAACTTTTGTGCAAAAAGAAAAAAACCTTAACTACTAAAATAAAGTAAAACTGTACTGCAGATTATGACATCCTAAATAGATACAGTAATAAAATTATTTATCCTTGATAGAATAAAAGACACTAACAACATCCTGGATTAAAAATGAAACATCTTTTTGTTTTGTTCAATTATTTTATTTGTGATAAAAGCTCATATATGTGCACATGAGGGTGAAAGACAGAGAGAGGAGCAGCCCCCTCATCTGCTATAGTCCTCTTCTTCTATTCCTCCAGCCCACTGGATCTGGGGCACTGGGACATGCCCAGCATATTCTAGGCTCAGCTGGCTGAAGATCTGAACCATGGTCACCATATTGGATCTAGCGTCTCTTGAGCAGTGCATTGCCACTGTGCCATGGGGCCAGCCCTGAAACATCTTCATACAAACCACATTAGTAGCTCCCTGGGGACTGACTGCAAAGAGGAAGAGGAACTCTGTAAAGTGACAGAAATATGCTATTTTGACTATTTGAATATGGTGGTGTTTACAGAGAGAGATACGTTCATATATTTAGAGCACATTACTTAAAATGGATTTTCTTGATTGTGTTTTTGCTATAGGGTGTATGCATTTGCAGGAGAGAGAGGGAAAGTGAGAAATCAACCCCTCAGGGCATAGCCACACCACAATCCTTGTTCCTCTATTCTCCTCTTGGGATTTGGGCATGCACGCAAATGAACCTGGCATGATTTTCAAGTTGCCGGGCCCAGTACTTGAACCGTGGTCAGCCATGTGAGAGTCCAGTGCCTTAACCACCACACCACCTACTGGCCCCTAAGATAGATATATTTTATTATTTGTAAGTTATATTCAATATAGTTTATACTTTTCTTTTTTTAGAGGTCATTGTTTTAGGGCACGTGTGCGTGCCAGAGAAAGAGTGAGGGGGAAAGTGAGAAATCACTCCCGAAGGAAGAAGGCCTAACCACAATCTGTTCTCCCCCACAGTCCTCCTGAGATCTTGGGCACATGGAGTGACTTTGGAGAGATTTTCGCTATAAGGCGCGTGCTCTCGCCAGACAGAGACATTAGAGACAGAAAGCGAGAAATCACCCCCCAGGGGGAATGGTCACTCCGCAATCCCTTCTCCTCCATTCTCCTCTGGGGATCTTGGGCACGCATGCATGCACACGCGCCCGGCGTGAGTTTTAAGCCACCGGGTCCAGGACGCGAACCGCGGTCGACCACATGGGAGTCCAGCGACATAGCCATTACGCTAACTGCTGGTTCCCGTGGAGTGATTTTGAAGCCACCAGGTCTGAGACCCAAACCATGGTCAGCCACGTGGGAGTCCAGCAACATAACTGCCACGCCATCTGCTGATCCAAAGTTTATACTTTGCTAAAAAGCTTACCAGACGGCAGGAATTTAGAGTTCTCTTTTTCCTCCTCTATAACATTCACATGTACAACATATATCAACCAATAGTGCCTCTTGTTTCAACAGGGTATTGTCCCCATTAAAAATTACTAATTAAAAGAATGCATTTGCTACACATTGGAAACCCTTTACTGGTAATATCAAAGTTACTGAGAATTAAAATGAAAAGGGAGGCGAGCTCTATGGTCTGGTGGTTAAGGAGGCTAGATCCCTTACAGCTGACTGCACAGTTCAAGTCCTGGACTCAGCGGCTTGAGAAACATGCCAGACATTATGTGCATGCGTGCCCAAAATCTGAGCAGAGGAAGAGATGGAAGAGAAGGGACTGTGGTATGACCATCCCCCATGGGAGATGACTTCTCACTTTCTGCCTCTGTCTGGCAAAACTAAAAAAGAAAAAGACCTCAGTGGGTCTCGTCTCACCTCACATATTTGGCGTGCTGCATCTGTGGTAAGGCGGGCAGTCTCTGTTTGCTGAGCTGCTATTTTGCAAGTTGCTTCTTGCAGGACTTCAGTTACTTCCCGTTGTGATTTAACCACCTGCTGCAATGATTCTGCGTGGACCTATAAATAAAAGCAGATAAAAAGAGAACCCAGTTTATGACTTGGTCTCCTCTCTACCCAAATTAGTTTTGATTCATAAATTTGTTTCACAGATCAAATATTTTGTGTAAAAAAACACTTGACTACAACCTGGGTTTCATGACTTAAGTCCTCACTCCACCATTCACAAGCGGCCAAGAATGTGGACAAGCAACTACTATGTGCCTCCATTGCCAATTCTCCAAATTAAAAATGAGTTTTGACTACCTCCTATTGCACAGGGTTGCTATAAGAACTATCAACAAATGGCATGAAATTATCCCATGTGAAGTACTAAAACATTGCTGTTTACTTATTTTCTTTTTTATTCCTATATACTATAGTTTAAAGAACTCCAAAGTGATTCTGATTACACAAATTTAGGTTTAGAGAACCAGTACTTGCTACAAATTAAGTTACCTGAGCTGCTTGGTTTCGGGTTTCTTCTAATTGTCTCTGACACTCCAGGGCCTCTTGTTCAGCCTTCAGTTTCAAAAGGGCCAAGTCTCTTTCATGGCGTTGCTGTTGTGCCTTCAAATTGGGGGGAAAAATTTTAAAAAAAGGTCAAATACTAAATCTAACATACAAAACTATTGGGACCACCATGTGGCATAGAGATTAAGGTGCTGGATTCCAATATGGCTGACAATGGTTCGAGTTCCAGATCTGGTGGCTTGAAAATCACGCCATGCACATATGCATGCATGTCCAAAATCCTAAGAAGAGATGGAGGAGATGGGATTGCAGCACAGCCATTCCCCCCTGGAACATGATTTCTCACTTTCCCTCTCTGTCTCTCTCCAGCAAGCAGACACACCCTATGGCAAAAACCTTAGAAGAAAAAAAAAAAAAGATACTAAACTACTTTAACACAGTGACTAAAATAAATATTAGGTTGTCGGGAGAGTCATGATGTATTTTTCTGTTTTTCTATGCAAAAATGTGTACAGAATCCTAACGCAAATCATTTGGATCAATCGATTAGGATCTAAAGGAAAGATATAAATCATCAATTTATCATTTATCAAAAAGTGTAGTGACCACCCACTATGTGTCAAATAATGTAGTCATATAAAACTTTTCCAAGGCATACACAGGATAAAGAACTGATACCAAAGATTGAAAGCAAAAGCTACAGTACTTAGCTATTCTGAAGAGACAAAAATATGGGGCCAGCAGGTGGCTGGCTCTGCAGTTCAAATCTCAAACTCTCCAGGCTTGAAAGAAACACCGACGAATGTGTGTTCAAGCTCAAAATACCATGAGGAGAATGGCAGAGAAGGGACTGTGGCATGGCCATTCCCCTAGGGGGTGAGTTTTCACTTTCCCACTCTCTCTGTCTCCCCTCAGCAAGTGCACACACCCTTACGGCAATAAAACTAAGGAAAAAACAAAAATAGATAAAAAATATGTCCTAAATGTAGAAGTAAAGATAATGCCTCAAACTCACAATTTAATGATTTCTTATATGGACTTGGAAGGAGCAATTTCATTAAAAATGTCCTCTGGGGTCAACAAGTAGCACGGTGATTAAGGGCGGTGGACACTCACACGGCCAACCATGGTTCGAATCCCAGACCTGGCAGCTTACTTTCTTGCTTCCCCCCGCCCCCACCCCTCTCTGGTCAAATTAAAATAAATAAATAAATAAAGTTAAATAGAATAATTCTAAAAAAAAAGTCCTCTGAAAATACTGTTTCACTAAGACTTTTCCCTGTCATTATTCCAAACAATGTTATCTATAAATTTACAGATTTTTTAATCTCTTCTGGAATAACGATAAATAATAAGGTTCCATAAAGATGGTAAGGCTATATGTGAACTCATTTAATGCCCTGCCAAAATCTATAAACCCAAAATTAAAATTCATCCCTAAAATGGGAAAATCTAACGTTTAATTTGAATTTCCAGGTCAGCACAGCCCTCAACGAGTTCATTTCTTCAGTATAGCAATTCTCAACAAGGTGGGCACCAGTCTCTCCTCACTCTTTTCCAGGGAGCATTTGGAAAGATCTAGGGAAGTTTTGCTGTCACAATGACTAGACAGAACTACTGTTATTTAGTGGGAGGTGTAAAGGAATGCAAGGAGTTATATAATTCCTTGCAAAATATGGAATGGGGACCAGCCTGCAGTATGGTAGTTAAGGTGACTGGATCCCACATGGGTGACTATACAGTTCAAGTCCTGGACCCAGCAGCTCAAAAAACCTGTCAGGTGTGTGTGCATGCGTGCCCAAAGAGAACGGAGGAGAAAGGACTGCCTTGTGCCCATCCTACTGGTGGATGCTTTCTCGCTTTCTCTCTCTGTCTCTACCTCTGGTGAGTATCCACACCTTATAGCAAATTTTTAAAAGAGGATGGAATCGAAAAGAAAGGTATGGGATGCCCCCCCACCCCGATACTGTCTTGTAGGTATTTTGGGAAGAACGACTAGAAAAAAATAAAATCATAGTAATACCTAAAAAACATAAAATATTTAAGAATACTTTTTAACTTTATAAGGCTTCTTCACTGAAAATTATATTTCTGAGAGAAATATTAAATGGTCAATTGATATGTTTAGACCATTCTTAGAAATACTGAAAGGAGGCAGATGCTGGTGATGGTTAAGGCAGCTGGGTCCTACACAGATGACTGTAAAGTTTGAGTCTCAGACTTGGCAGCTCGACAAACATAACAGGCACATTTGTGTATGTCCCCAGAATCCCAAGAGGAGAATGAAACATTAGAGACTTGGTGCAGCCATTCCCCGTGGAGGGCAGGGTAGGAGGGTGCGTGCGTGCCTGTGCGTGCATGCGTGCGTGTGTGTGTGTGTGATTTCTCTCTCTTTTTGTCTCTCTCTGGCAAGCATGCATACCTTACAGGCAAAACTAAAACACACAGAGAGAGAGAGAAATATATCATGCTCATGAATGAGAAGATACAATATTAAGATGTAAATTCTCCCCAAACGGATTTACAGATTCAATACCATTCTAATCAAAATACCACCAAACATTTTTTTAAAAAAAGAAACTGATGAACTAATTTAAAAAGTTTTATGGAAGGTCCAGCAGGTGCATGGTGGTTAAGATGCTAGATTTCCACATGGCTGACCATGGTCTGAGTCCCAGTCCTGACAGCTTGCTTTCTCACTTCCCCTTTCTCTCTGTTCAAATTAAAAATAATAATAATACATAGAATTAAATAATTATTTTTAAAAAGTTACATGGAAATACTAACACCAAAGTCATCTTGAAAAAGAATAAGTTGAAGGAACTACACCCTGATTTTAAGACTCATTATAAAGCCAACAAAAGCTGCAGTTTGAGTCCTGGACCTGGCAGCTTGCTTTCTCTGCCCCCTACCCCTGCCACCCCTCGTGAGTGTATGTGCCCTCTAGCAAATTAATAAATAATAATAATAAATTAAATTAAATAAATAATTCTTTTAAAAAATACAGACAGATAGTAAGGTATTAGCATTAAGGATGGACAGATGAGTGGAAAAGAACTGAGCCCAGAAGTAGCTACTTAGTCACTGATAAAGTCAGTCATTTAAGTCTTTTTTAAGAAAATGTTGCTGGAACAACAATATTTAAATCTATATAGGAAAAATTAATTTGACCGCTACTTCAGATCAAACCCCAAAATTAACTTGAGAAGATCACTCACTTAAATATAAAAGCTAAAACGATAAAGCTTTTGGGAAGAATGTAGGCGAATACTAGTTAGAGTATCTTGATATCTCTAGGCAAAGAAAGCAATGCCACTATTATAAAAGAAAAATATTACAAACTAGATTTCATCAAAATTAAAACTTTTGCTTCTCAAAAGACAGTCTAAAAAATAAAACAGTAAACCAAAGACTGGAATACAATATGAAATATATCTGAAAAGGACTTGCTTCCAGATTATACATAAAAAAATTCCTGAGCCAGCAGGTGGTGTGGGTAGGTCAAGGCAGCTGGAGTCCCGGACCCAGTGGTTTGAAATATTCAATACATGCCAGGCGCATGTGAGTGCACGCCTAAAATCCCAAGAGGAGAAAGGATTACAGCCATCCCTGGTGAGTTCTCATTTCTTCTCTCTCTCTTGCTGCTTTCTAGTGAGCACACACATCCTTCAGCAAACTTAGAAAAAAAAAGAATTTCTGTAACACACTAATTAAAAGAACTCAATTATGAACTGGGCAAAAATTTAAACAGACATTCACAAAAGAAAATATAAGAATGGTCAACAAATACAAAAAAATAGATCAATCTAATTAATCATAAGTAAATGCAAATTACAATCATAATGAAATACAACTTCACATTTAATAGAATGACAAAAATAAAAAAGATAGGGTCAGACCCATAGCCTAGTGGTTAAGAAACTCAGATCCAGGGACCAGCAGGTGGCATGGTGGTTAAGGCACTGGACACTCCCACTTGGCTGACCATGGTTCAAGTCCTGGACCTGGTGGCTTGCTTTCCCACTTTCTCTCTCTCTCCCTCCACTCCAGTCAAATTAAAATAAAAGAATGAATAAATAAAATTAAATAAATAATTTTTTAAAAAAAGAAACTCTGATCCATGGCAAGAAAATGGAACATTATCTGTTGATAACAATGTGTATGATAATTTCTTTGACTGGACTAACACACATGGTATTCACGCTGTGAAAATTCATTTTCAATGTTATAAAGATATACACTGATTAAACATAAAAAATAAGAGAAAAAAATTTAAATTAAAAAAGGGACCAGCAGATGACATAATGGTTATGTCGCTGGACTCCCACAGGGCCAACCACAGTTCGAGTCATGGACCCAGAGGCTTGAAGTTCATGCTGGGTACATATGCATGCATGCCCCAAATCCCAAGATGAAAATGGAGAAGAGACTGCTGCATGGGCATCCCCTCAAGCGGTGATTTCTCACTGTCTCTCTCCCCCTCCCCAGCGATCATGCATGCCCTAAGGCAAAAACCTCTATTTTTATATTTCTTATATAAATACCTAGTATTGCAACTGACTGTGCCAAGTGTAAGTACTGTATGTGAAACTTTGTAAGAAACTGCCATACTATTTTCCAAAATGGCTGTGACATTTTACATTCCTACAGCAATATATGAAAGTTATAGCTGTTTCATGTCTTTGCTGTCTTTCAGTAATATCTTATTTATTTATTTGTTTTTATTTTTAAGTGCCAGAGGGCATATGTGCTTGACAGAGGGAAAAGGAGAAAGCACTCCCAAATGAGGTATTGTCACATCGTAATTCCTTCTCCATTTTCGATCCTGTTGGGATTTGGGGCATGCGTGACTATGGACACCTAGTGTGTTTGGGCTGCTCGGGCTAAGATCTGAACTGTGGTTGGCCATGTGGGATCCCACTTTCTTTTCTTTTCTTTCTTTTTTTTTAAGAGTTTTTTTGCTACAGGGCATGTGTGCTTGCTGGAGAGACAGAAAGTGAGAAATAACTCCCCCAGGGTATGGGTAAATTTTCTGACCCAATGCAAGTATGTTCTATCTTGATTCTGGTGGTTGTTACACAAGTCTCCACACTGGTTAAAACTCACCAATTTTGCACGCTTAAATTCTGTGTATTTTGGGGCCAGCAGGTGACATGGGTTAAGGTGCTGGACTCCCACACAGCTGACTCCAGTCCAAATCCTGGACCTGGCAGCTTGAAAATCACACTGAGCACGTGTGTGTATGTATGTGCATGCCCCAAATGCTAAGAGGACAATGAAACAAAAGGGGTTGTGGTGAGCCATCTCTCCTCAGGGGTAAATTCTCATTTTCCCTTTCGCCACATGCCGTATGGCAAAAACCTTAAAAACAAGCAAACAAAAAGCCTGTGCATTTTACTGTATGTGAATAATATCTAGGTTTAAAAAAAAAAGATACCAATAGCACCTCCACTGAAGAAAACTGCTTAGATCTGTGGATTTGGGGCTAAATTAGTTTCTTCCTTCCATGAGTGACAGGAAGTAAGAGAATGAGAGAGAGAAAGGGGCATCCCCCAACACGGTGTCCATACCATGAACCGCCCCCCATTTCCACCAGCCCTGGATCACAGGCATGTGCATGCCTGGCATGTGCAGGGAGGTCTCCCAGGGACACTGGGACACTCCCGTGGGGGTCAGCTGCACACACTGCATTTCTTCTGTACCCAGCACACTTCTCTGGCCTATTGTTTGCTAAGGAACCCTGGCTTCATCAAATACCTGGATCTCAGAAACTTTTCTGTTTGATATGAATAAAGCATTTAAAAAACCCAAAACCCTGTCATTTCTGACTTATCAATGAAAAAGAGGAAATATTGGGACCAGCAGTTAGCATAATGGCTATGTCACTGGACTCCCATATAGTTGACCGCGGTTCGAGTCCTGGACCTGATGGCTTAAAACTCACGCCAGGCACGTGTGCATGCGTGCCCAACATCCCGAGAAGAGAATGGAGGAGAAGGGATTGTGTCGTGTCCATCCCCCTTGGGGGATGATTTCTTGCTTTCTGTCTGTCTCTCTGTGTCTGTCTGGCGAGTGCACGTGCCCTATAGCAAAAACCTCTCCAAAAAAAAAAAAAGAGGAAATATTAAGAAAGGCTGACTAGCTTATTTTTCACAATTATTAAAACAAAGCAGAAACCATGGAAAACAAAATATTTGAGACAGAGTGATTGTTATTGTTCTATTGCCAAACACTGTATAATTAATTTTCTTTTTAGTACCTTATATAACAGTTTTTCCCAAGATATTCATAGCTAGTTTTTTGGGGTATTCTTTTTTTATTTTTATTTTTTTGGGGGGGTATTCTTTTTTACATACTCGGCACAATAAAGTTTATTTTTTTAAACTCGTTAAGATTATTTTAAACAGGGACCAGCAGTTAGCCTAATGGCTATGTTGCTGGACTCCCACGTAGTCGACCGCGGTTCGCTTCCCAGACCCGGTGGCTTAAACTCACGCCGGGCGCGTGTGCGTGTGTGCCCAAGATCCCGAGAGGAGAATGGAGGAGAAGGGATTGCGGCGTGGCCATCCCCCCTAGGGGGTGATTTCCTGCTTTCTATCTCTCTGTCTCTCTCTGTCTGTCTGGCAAGCGCACGCACCCTATTGCAAAAACCTCTCCAAAAAAAAAAGATTATTTTAAACAGCAAAGGAAAAAAGAAAAGCCACAGATGATAAAGAAGGAAATTTTACAATTACCTTTATGATCTGAGCCAGAGACACAGTCTCCTGCTGAGCCAGTGAAATGCCTCTGACCCTTTCCACATCTGACAGCTGGCGCACTGACTCCTCGATGGCGTTCAGGTAACTGAGTTCTGCTGCCATACGGTGCTGGAGGCCGGCAGGAGAAAAGCGCTTAGAACCTGGAGTGCAGAACATCAGATAGAAGGTTTATATTGAAATTACACCTTGGGAGTTCTAAAATTTATTTCTCACTTTGAGAGCCAAAACCAAATCTGCTTTCCTTGTAGAGACAGTCACTTCTTAGTACAACGCATTTTAAGACTTTTTCTTTTTCTGTGTCTGTACACGCGTGTGTATATCCACATATACCTATAAACACACATAAGCACACATACTGAATACATTTCTCAGATGTGTTTTGACTAATAGTGGCAAGGTGAGAAAAAAAGAAAACACCACTATTGACTCTCTCAGACTTTTCAAAATGTTTAATTTTCCTTGTTTAATACTTCAAAAAATAATCACTCACCCGAAATAACATTTCTCTGTGGCACAACTGAAAGAAAATGCATTTTTAGAAAACATAATTTAACACCTATTTCAAAAATGTCAACCGTGTGATCTACTCACCTGGGGTTGCACCTGTCTCTGTGGGCATTCTGCTGGCAGTCAGGCTCATGTCAGTGAAAGCTGAAGTGGTCCTCAGTCCTGAAGGAGTTGGAGGCATTACCACTGAAGACTTAGATCTTTCTAAGGAAGTTCCTGGAAGGTTAAACTGCAACAGTTTCTGAGAACTTGGAGACAAGGGAGAAGCTGGAGTTTTCTGGGATCTTCCCTTGTCTGAAGAGACACTAGAAGTTTTGTTCATAAAGATATTAGAGAAAGAAAAACTACTTCAAGAACCAACTAAACAATTCACAAGAATAACATACACTACTTTCTTTATCCCCATTAGCTTTAAAGAGCTGAAATTTAGGCATTCATTCATTCAACAGTCCCTATGTTAAATGAATGACTGGGAATATTCCTCTAATTGGTAGATTTACAGTGGCGAACACACTAGGCACAAACACTGCCCTAAATAAAAGGGAAAGGAAGTCGCTTCATTTCCCAGGCACTTAACTCTTCCTGCTATAATGTACAATATCATGATTCACTCATTGTAAGAAGCAGCAGTCTTCTAAAGCAATTAGAGTTCATATAGCAATAAAATTACAGTCATATATAAAAGACATTATCTTATAAAAGCCTCTCAAAATATAGAAGTATCTCTGAAAGAGAATAAAATATCATTTTGTATTCATATTTGTATAAACTGAGAAATGACCAAACTATTCTTTTGTTAACCCAGAAGAGTCACAGAAGAAAATACTGTCATACTACTTCTAAATACTTAATATATGTTCATTTGTTTATATTCTTCACCTTTTAATACTGTATCTTTTTTGAACCATCAAAGGAGTGTAACAGTCTGACTGTAGCAATATGTAAGACATTTAATTCAACATAAAGCACATGTCTATCTCCTCTTTGAGAAACTAAGCACATTAAAGATACTATTGCTCATAATCTCAAACATGCTACTTTTCACTAAATATTTATTAATTGAATAAATTATTTAAAGATATGCTATAAAGCATTTTAGCCAAGTTAACATATTTCCAGGGCTGGCAGGTGGCATGTTGGTTAAAACGTTGGACTCCTATATGGCTGACCACAGTTCAAATCCCAGACCTGGAGGCCTGTTTTCTCACTTTTCATCTTTCTCTCTCTGGTGAAATTAAAATAATAATAAATAAAATAAAATTAATAATTAAAAATGTATTTCTAAATTACTAAAACAAGTTTGCTTATAGCTTCTAATAAAATTGTGAGATAGTTTTTAAAGATAAAAAAATTTTCTTATACTCAGCATGAAAGTGTTTTAATAAAAGTAGTCTTCACGGGACCAGCAATTAGCGTAATGGCTATTCGCTGGACTCCCATGTAGTTGACTGCAGTTCGAGTCCCGGACCCAGGGGCTTAAACTCACACCAGGCGCGTGTGTTTGTGTGCCCAAGATCCCGAGAGGAAAATGAAGGACAAGGGATTGCGGCATGGCCATCCCCCCTTGGGGGGTGATTTCTCGCTTTCTGTCTCCCTGTCTCTCTCTGTCTCTCTGGCGAGTGCACGCGCCCAATAGCAAAAACCTCTCCAAAAAAAAGAAAAAAAAAAGTAGTCTTCAGAGGCGCATACTTATTCATCTGACCTTTAATTTTCAATTGATGGTTTAGAGAAACATTATTTCTAATAGTCTGGTCATTTCATTTACAGAACAAAAGAGGCTGCCACTTGAATAGGCTGCCACTTGAATAGACTGCCAGGAAAGAATCCCAACACAACATCAGAAAAAGCAATGTATGCTGCTTCTCGCTTTATGGTTTTACAGGAAGAATTTGTACTTGCTTTGCAGACAAGATTCACCTAGGCTAGACTTTCCAAAAGCATTTTTCTAACAATGTTAATATGTTTTCTAGAAATGAAAAATAAAGAGAGAAGATCCTGAGGATAGAGTGTCTACAGGCAAGTAAGTTAAGAAAAAAAACAAACACTTAAAGAAAAAATCTAGACTCCTCCTTATCAAAGTACCTCATCTAGGGACAGGCGGGTGGGTGGCGTGGTGGTTAAGGCGCTGGATGCAGGGTGGCATGGTAGTTAAGGCGCTGGGTGCTCCCATGTGGCTGACCACGATTCAAGTCCTGGACCTGGCGGCTTGCTTTCTCATCTTCTCTCTCACTTTCTGTCTGTGTGTATCTCTCTGGTCAAATTAAAAATGAATGAATGAATAAATAAAGTTCAATAAATAATTAAAAAAAAAAAAGTACCTCATCTTATTTTATCTACTGTGACTCTCCATGAGTGGGAAAAGGGGTTCTAGAACTATAGTACAGAGGTATTTTTAAACCTATCTTGCTATGGATTCTATTTTAGAAATATTTAAGTTTTGCCAAATTAAATCAACAAATTTCTTAAGACAAACTTTCCTAATTCCAAATTACTAACAAAAAAATTAAAATTCAATTTTAAATATAGCAGTGATGGTATTAATGAGGTATCATTTTTGCAACATGAAGACATTAAAATGGTTATCTATACGGGACACAGTACAAGAAAAAAAATTACTTTAAAGAGGAAAATAACTCTGCTCACAGTCACCTGGAAGGACTGGAGACTGGGGTCGTTCAACTGAGACAACTACAAGATATTGTCACAAATGTGGAGAAGCATTTTGGAGAGCTGTGCCAAGTCCTTGCTGCCTATGTGCGGAAAACTGCCAGGATACAAGACAAAGCAGACCTCCCGGTGAATGAAATCAGCGTGTACGCCTCTACAGAATTTAAAGCAGGGCCTGAAAAGCTTTGCGCATCAGTTTGCCAAACTTCGGGACTGTCAACAAGCCGAGGTTGAAAGACTTGAAGCCAAAGCAGTTGAACTTTGAAACATTATGGAACCATTGTAAAAATGAAACAAGGTAATCTCAAAGCCACATCAACAGCAAGGAATGGAGAAGCTAAGCAGTTAACTCAGAACAGGGCAGCGAAACCCATCTGACGTTACTTGACAGGCAGAAAGTGAATCACGGAGAGTTAAAATGGACGCGACCGAACAACTCGTCATCTGGAGAAAACTACTGACAATTTTGAAAAGCAGAAAGTAACGGATATAAAGACTATATTTTCAGAATTTATGGCAATTGAAATGTTATTTCACGGCAAAGCTTTAAAGGTCTACACTGCTGCCTACCAAAATACACAAAAGATTGATGAGGATGAAGATTTAGAGGTTTTCCAAAATTCTCTGTATCCACAAGATTACTCATCTCTTCTAGATATTGTAAGAGCAAGTTCAAAGTCAGCTCTTCAGAGATCACTGTCAGCTAAATGTGTATCTGGAACTGGGCTGGTGTCCACCTGTCGACTAAGAAAGGATCCACAAGCAGATGATGATGATGATGATGAAGAGTCAGATGTTACAGAAGAAGAAAATTAATTTTCTTAAGTAAACTTCACATTTCCATTTTCATCTTAAATGACTTGGAATACAGTATTACTAAATTGTAAAACTTTCTACTTGCTTTATACATTCAACCTCAAAATGAAACCCTACAAGGGGAACAATAATTAAAAGATGTTTACGCTGACCAAAAATGAAGATTTTAAAAAATATTACACAACAGTCAGTTCGATGTCCTACCTAATAGTATATGATATTTTTAGGCATATGTTCCATTTTTCAAAAAAAGATTATGTATTTCAAAGTATTTCATATTAATGTATATATCATATATCTATATATACTGAGTTGAATTTTCCATAGTTAAGTAGATGACAAAAACCAAGATCTAACAATTCCACTTCGCTTCTTTTAGGTGAGGACTTTATATTTTCATCACCTATATAGTAGTTCTGATTACATACAAATTCTGTCCCATGAAGCCTTAAGAAAAAAGGTTTTCATTCTTTTTCACTTTTACTGAATTCTTATGTTTCAATATTTGATATTTAAATTATGTTTAAATTTACTTTTAAACATAAGTATAATAAAACCTTATGTTTCAATATTTGATATGTAAATTTACTTTTAAACATAAGTATAATAAAATAAAGGTAGTAGGACACTAAAAAAAAAAGAGAGAGAGAGAGAAAGAGAGAAAATAAATCAATGTTCTGTCGAGACCTCAGTTTCCAGGACAAAACCAGTGTACAAATTAAAATGTCGTGTGGGCAAACTAACAGGAAATGTACAGGAAGCAATAACTGAAGGTTATTTGTCAACAAGTTAAGAGCATAATATATTAAAAGAGGGGGAAACGTAGAGTATGCAAATGCTACCATAACTGTAACAGTGAGATTTCAAAATTGGCTCAAGTAGTCTTTTCTGAGCAAAAGAAAAGCTCAGAGAAGAAATGAACAATGAAAAACCAAAAGGATGCTAAGTAGCTATGCTGGAAGAGTAGAAGAATACAGTGAGAAGCAAACTTTGTAGACAAAGGAAATAAGATAAAATTTGTAGACCAAGTGAACACTGTTCCAATAGTTACGTTCCTCAAGTCACTTACAGGGTAACTGGGATCTCTCAGAGAGTCCTAAGGAGGGACGCTGCCTGGCCAGAATACCGAGCCAAGAAAACAACTGAGGGAATGGCATTCGGGACAAAAAAATAAAAGAGGTTGTGTTGTAGGCACAGAATTCCAGAGGGAGAGGCTGGAACAGTCTAGGTAAGAGATGCCCAAAAGCTATCAACAAAGTTACAAAGTCTACTCCAGAACTACAGAGTTTTCTACTACCGCAGACATGTGTAGTTAGGAGACTGCAAGCTACTTACCAGATGGATTCTTTGAACATCAACGACACTATAACTTTAATTGTATGTAAATTACACTATAAAATATATATTACTTTACCTCATAGAATGCCCAGAAAGATTCTCCAAAGTGCTATCGGTATCAAGTGTCTGCTCACTGTCTTTTACAGAAAGTTTGTTACTGGTCCCAGATTTCTTTCCTTGGTAGGAGCCATGTTCTGTGCCAGACTGTACTTTTTCCTCATCAAGAAGTGAGTTCTGAACATTTCCAGTGAATGAATCCAACCCTACAAAGCAAATTTCTTATATAGCTGATTCCCAATATTAGAAATTACTGAGATAATTGATACATGAATTTCAACAAAATAATAAAGGATATAGGCCAGAATATTTAAATATCAACTTATACTTAAAATCTATTGCCAGAACAACAGGTGGAGTGCTGGTCAAGGCGCTGGATCCCACATGGCCGACTCCATGGTTTGCGTCCTGGACCTAGAAGGTTGAAGGAAACATTGGCACAACTCCTGAGAGGAGAATGGAAGAGGAGGGACTGTGGTGTGGCGATCCCCCCAGGGGGTGATGTCTCACTTTCCCCTCTCTGTCCCTCTCTAGCAAATACGTAAACCCTATGACAAAAATCTAAAACAAAACAAGAGGCCAACAAATGCCATAGTGGTTATGTTGCTAGACTCGCACATGGCCGATCACAGTTTGAGCCCTGGATCTGGTGGCTTGAAACTCAGGCCAGGCACATGTGCATATGCCTAAGAGGAGAAGGGATTGTGGTGTGGCCATCTTCCCAGAGAGTGATTTCTCACTTTCCCTCCCAGTTTCTTCTCTCTCTCTTTCCAGCAAGTGCATGCAGCCTACTGCAAAAACCTCTTAAAAAAATGTTTCCATAACCAAAATGAAACAGTTCATCCTTTTGCCTTCATCTAATGAAGTGAAGTTTTTTCCATTAACATCCTCCACTTGCTATTAATAAGTAAACTGTTCTCGGGTTAACTGCTAATAAAAAACAAGTACATTAAACAAGAACAACTACTATCCGCCATTATAAAGACGAAATGAGGAGCCACCAGTGGTATGGTGGTTAAGGCAGCTGGATCCCAAACGATGAACTGCATGGTTCAAGTCCCAGACTCAATGGCTTGAAAAACACACTGAGTACAGAAGCATGCATGCCCATAATCCTGAGAAGCAAACGTAGGAGAAGGGACTGCAGTGTAGCCATCCTTCCGGGGGGCTGCTTTCTCACTTTTTCTTTCTCTCTCTCTCTCTGGTGAGTGCAAGCACCCTAGAGCAGAAAATAAACAAATAAACAAACAAACTAGGGGGAAAAAAGGAAGAAACAAAAATGACATTGCTTTGGAATAAAATTCATAGCCGAGAGAAAAATGGTATCAATTCTTATTAGAACCACACAATTCATTTTTAAAATATGACAAGAACTATGTAGCAAGATTCATAAAAATATATACATATTGACTAAGAATAATCGTACTTGTACAGATGAATCTTGGAATTATTATTATTATTATTTATTTTTGGAGAGGTTTTTGCTATAGGGCACGTGAGCTCGCCAGAGAGACAGAGAGAGACAGAGTGATAGAAAGCAAGAAATCACCCCCCAGGGAAGATGGCCACACTGCAATCCTTTCTCCTCCATTCTCCCCTCAGGATCTTGGGCATGCACGCACAAGTGCCTGGCATGAGTTTAAGCCACTGGGGCCTGGGCTCAAACCATGGTTGGCTACATGGGAGTCCAGTGACATAGCCATTACGCTAACTGCTGGTCCCAGAATCTTGGAATTATTGAGACAAAAATTATATAAGCTATTGAATGACTAATTTTTTTTTTTTGAGAGGTTTTCGCTATAGGGCGCGTGCACTTGCAAGCCAGACAGAGAGAGACAGAGAGACAGAAAGCGAGAAATCACCCCCCAGGGGGGATGGCCACGCCGCAATCCCTTCTCCTCCATTCTCCTCTCGGGATCTTGGGCACGCACGCACACGTGCCCGGCGTGAGTTTTAAGCCACCGGGTCCGGGACGCGAACTGCGGTCGACTACGTGGGAGTCCAGCGACATAGCCATTACGCTAAGTTCTGGTCCCTTAAACGACTAATTTTATAATTTGAAAATTTAAGCCTACATTTCCAACAATAGAATCACTGTCTAAATTACAAAGATAATATTAACTTGATATTTAAATAGCACTTTACGATTTTAAAACACTTCTTATATAAAACTTAATTATTTTTAAACATCTTAACAAGTAGGTACTATATCCCTAATTTACAGATATGGTAACTAGAGAATCTATGGGGCATAAACATTTGCTGAAGGATACATAGTCAATAGCAGAAATAGGACAAACACCCAGGCCTCTGGCTCTAAATCTAGTCCACTATTCACCTTGATGATTCACTGAAATGGTATCATGAGAAAATATCAATTATTACCTTAAAAAAAAAAGAGAGAGAATACAGAATTGCATTATACATCTTAAATGGCAGCTGAATTTTTAAAAAATATAAAGATCAAAAAATATGCAAAAATTAAAAAAAACTATGCTGTATATGCATATTCACAGAGAAAAGATATAAGCAACCCAAGTGACCATCAAGAGTAAGAGGTGGGGGCTGGCAAGTGGCAATGTGGTTAAAGGCTCTCGACTCCCACATGGCCGACCACGGTTCTAGTCTCAGACCTGGTGGCTTGCTTTCTCACTTCCTCTGTCTCTCTCTCTCTCTGTCTCTCTCTGATCAAACTGGAAAATAATAATGATAATAATAATAAATAAAGTTAAAAAAAATAATAAAAAAAAAGAGTAAGAGGGGCCAGCAGGTAGCATGGGTGGTGAAGGCACTGGACTCCCACATGACTGATGGTGGTTCAAGTCCCAGACCTTGCAGCTTACTCTCTCTCTCTCTCTCTCTTAAAGAGTTTCTGCTGCGCACATGTGCCCTATAGGAAATTTTTAAAAAATTATTAATTAAACTTTAAAAATATAATAAAAATGTATGGTGTAATGTCATGTACTAAAGACTACATAGGGCTACATTCTCTGAGTTACCATAATTAGGAGAAAAAGAAAACATAAAAAGTATACACATGTGACAGGTCTTCAAAGAAATTAAGAAAAATGTGTATTATTAAAAAAAAAACTATGTGCAGGTTTCAAAAGACTTTTGCATCAGAAGAAACTCATGTTTTAATTCCATTGTTTAACAAACTATTTGAAGTACTTCATATTCTATAACCCTGAGGGCTGTTTGGAACATACCAGATGATAGAAAAAATCTGGTACACTAGGTATTTAGCACAGACAAATTCATAGAGAGAGAAAGTACAGTGGTTACCAGGGGAAAGGGAGAATTGGACTTACTATTTAAAGAGCAGAAAGTGGGGCTGGCAGGTGGTGTGGTGGTTGAGGCAGGAGACTCCCACATGACCGACATGGTTCAAGTCCCAAACCTGGAGGCTTACTTTCTCACTCTCCCTTTCTCTCTGTCTGTCTCTCTCTGGTCAAAAATAGAAGAATAATAATTTTTTTAATTTTAATAAATAACTCTTTTTTAAAAAGTAAAATAAATAAAATAAAGAGCAGGAAGTTTCAGTTTGGGATGATGAAGTTCTAAAGATTGATACTGGTGATGACTGCACAACAATGTATACCTAATGCCACTGAACAGTATACTTAGAAGAGAAATAATCTGAGAAATTAGAAAGGACTGGGACCAGCAGTTAGAGTAATGGCTATGTCGCTGAACTCCCATGTAGTCGACCACGGTTTGAGTCCCGGACCTGGTGGCTTAAGCTCATGCCAGGCGCGTGTGCATGCATGTCCAAGATCCCGAGAGGAGAACAGAGAAGAAGGGACTGTGGCATGGCCATACCCCTGGGGGGTGATTTCTCACTTTCTATCTCTCTCTCTGTCTTTCTGGTGAGCACAAGAGCCCTATAGCAAAAGCCTCTCCAAAAAAAAAGAAATTAGAAAGGACTCTATAATCTAAAGTCTATTTATGATCCTAGACTAGAACTGTTAATACTAGGTATCTCTAATTTCTCTATAACAAAGAAGCATTTCTTTCATAATAAAACTTCATTTATTTAATATTGTTCTTTGAAAATATGTATAGAATTTAAAAATTGCTCTTGACTACAAATAGAATTTCTACTTATGAAAAAGCTAAACTCCAATCGAAGGACTCCTAAAAATAAATGTTTGCCCCTACATCAAATAATTACCAAACAAAAGTACATTTATGTGTTTTACAACTAAATTAAGAACCAGTTAGGTGGTACAGTGGTCAAAGTGGCTTGATTCCACATAGTTGACTATGGTTTGAGTTTTGAACCATGCTTAAAAACCACACTGGGTGCATGTGTGTATATCTAAAAATTGCGAGAGGAGAATAAAGAAGAAGGAATTGTGGCATGGTCAGCTCCCCTAGAGGGTGGCTTCATGCTTTCTCACTTTCTACCAGTCTGTCTCCAGTAAACTCATGTGCCCTATAGCAAAAGACAGAAAAGAGAAGAAAAGGAAGAATTTCTTTTTAGGATTACCATTTTAATCTACCAATTACTTTAAACTATATTTGGTAAATTTTCGCACAGAACTTGCACACACTCTGTCTCACCACCAGATGGAGTATATTCAATAAAAATTATACTGATTTTAGAATTCAGGATTAGAGAAAAACTAAGTTTAAGATGATGCTATAGAAAGTGAAATATATTATGTGTGCATGCGCGTTTTTGCTTTTGGCAATATGAAAGGGATTCAGGGAAACTCAAAACTACAAAACACTAGACTTCATCTAATCTGCTTACATTTTTTTTTTTTTGAGAAGTTTCTGCTATAGGGTGTGTGCACTCACCAGAAAGACAGAGAGAGACAGAGAGACCAAAAG